GGAAATGGGGAGACGGGAGGCGAGGATGGGGCTGCTGGTCTTAGGAGGCCGGTGCTGTCGCTCGCGGGGGAGCGTGTCGTACCGTGGGGGTGTTTGGTTCAACTAGTTACGGCTCTGAACGGGCAAACAGCCGTGGGAAAGGTGCGTGTTGAAAGCGCCGAGCAAGAGACGGGAGTCTTGAGAGCCTCGGTGTCTGCGTGAAAGGGATGCCGCTAAAATATTCAACAGCGAGGAGTAGCGGGAAGCCCCCGGGGAGTGTTCAGGCATCTCGTAATGGTTTTTTCATCGTTTGTTCAGTTCTGACCGCAGTAACTGTTCAGGATAGGTGACAGCGCTTCAACCTAAGCCCCTCGCAGGTTAGACAGACGCGGGTAGAGGGAGCAGCAGAGGGAGAGAGGAATAAAGAAGAAAACGAGCCCAAAGGTAACGTGATTTCTACAAGTTGGGTCTTTTTCATTGAGGGAATTGATGAGATGGGAGTGGGAGGGCAAAGACGGTAGAGGACAAGGCCTGTAGTGACCAGATTAGATGAAACAGAGAGGGATCTGTTGCTAAATTATTGATCAAAGCTTGTAAGGTCAGCGGGGAGTAAATCCATGCTGAGTCTAGGAAAACAAATAGGATGGCTTGAGCAGGATGCGGTGTTGAACAGGGAGCGTGTGGCATTTTACTGTTGGGGCGACAGGTATGTGGAAGAGGGCAGGCAGCAGCCGGCTTGATCTCTGCCTGAGCTCCTTCAGTGTGCTCAAAAGGAAGCGTTTCTCTTCGTTCCTCTTCTGTAGGACTTCGCAGGGTTAGGATGTGGTAGGGGATTCTTCAGCGGCCAAAGCTAAGGCACAGGGTTGCAGTGGAAGGTAATTTAGGTGCTGTTTTGATGTAAAAACTGAAACGGGACCCCTTGATCAGCTCACCGCCGGCTCTTCCCCCTCCCTCTGCACTGCTCTGCGCCGCGAGGGAGTCTGAGGGCAGCTGTGCAACGTGGCTTTGCGCGGAGATACAACTCCGTGATTCATTAATTCAAAGCGACTGGTGAGGCAGATTCTGGCATGGCAGAGCGAGAGGTTTCCAATAGCCTTTTCATTTTATTTACTGCTCCAGTGCCAGGCTGGTTATCCATATGGCTTTATTATCTCACGCCTCAGATGGAGAGATCGTTAGCTGTTCTCGCCAAATAAAATATGGCATTCCCTTGTGTTATCTGCTGCTGAATCCCCTGCCCTAGAGTGGATGTGGAGTCCTTTAAGTTTGCATCAAAGATAGCAGTATTTCTCACTACCAGTGCGTGCAGCTCCTGCCTGCTTGATGCTTGCGCTTGCTGACTTGTCAGATAGCGGAGTTTTTATGTTTTCTGGCATTTGTTACTTTTCATAGTCCAAAGTAGAACAGCTGTTGTGTTCACTTGCTTGAAAGGCTGCTGGTTCTCTGACCCCTAAGGACCTTCCATCGAGTGAAGGTATCTTCACGTTCCTAAGCAGCAGATACGTGTGAGTCCTCCTATCCTCACTGCTCTCAGCCGTTCCATATTGCTGTTGTGTTTTATTTGCACTACAGTAGCTCTGATAAAGCACACTCCTGTGTAGGATCCCAAAGCCAAGAAGTAAAATATCTCTTACTTTTTAGGGGTTTTTTTAGCTGCAGACTGTATATTTTTTCAGAAATTACAGGAGTGGTCTGTGTAGAATTATTTTCTATATTCATATAAATGCATTATTAAAAAAAGAAAGTGCACATGCCTGCCTTGTGATATTTGGAGAGAACCTCAGTCCCCTGTTCAGAGAACTTCCCCCCCTTCAGAACCCCTACCCCCTGTTTTGTAATCTTCTCTGTTTTTTCTTTAAATTTGTTTAACTGTATTCTCCTTGTCAGGTGGAAGATGGGACAGTTTCCCTTTTGTTTTAGGTGACTCTGACACCTGGTTACCATGAAGTCCCAAAGGAGATAGAGGGACAGTAGTGGGAATTTCTTCTCACTCCTCCTCCAAAAAAAAAAATCCAACAATTGCCTAATGGTAAGAAAGCTGTTATTTTTAATTAGCCTTATATTGTACGGTATCCATTAATCGAGGAATACATTGAAGAGTTTGAGATCCAAACCCACTGGGTCACGTGCAGGGGGATTGAGGAGGATACAGGCTGTAAACGCTGTGTGTTGGGAGAGGGTGGGAGGAGTTGGTTCGAAAACATGATTGTCCTCTGGTTCGTGCCCTTTCCCCAGGGATTACCTCTTACGCTGACGTCATGGGGAGCTGCTGCAGTTGTCTGTGCACAGACAGCATCCCAGACAACCATCCCACCAAATTTAAGGTGAGTCTTGCACCTTCATCCCCATCAGACAGTCTGTGACACCACTGACTACTAGCAAAGCCCAGCGTGGGTTGGACTCCAGGCATGAAAGGAAAGAAAACCTCTGCTCTTGCAGAGAAGTTTTTCGCTTGATAAGATTCATAAATATGTTATTGGTTTGGTTTGTTGGTTGGGTTTTTTTTTCCTTTCCTTAAGCAACCTCTGGTGCAAATATGTTTGTATTTGCAGTAGAAATTGCTTCTGCACTGAGATTCAGCCTGAGCAAGGAAATGGGGAACTGGAGAGAAACCTTTTATTGCTCAGGGCTGTGTTCCAGCATCTGTGCTGAGACACATCAGCCGAATTGCCAAGCACACAGTCTCCAGGGCTGCCGGCTTGGCGCCTTCTGCCAGCAATGAATTCATGCTCTCAGCTGAGAAAAAGGCATCTCAGTAAATGAAGGGGGAATCCATGGGAATTACAGTATCTTCGTGGGTGGGCTTTTTTCAGTACCGATGCACTGAGTTTCTTGATGTGTGGCCTCTGCAGGTAACAAACGTAGACGATGAAGGTAACGAGCTGGGGTCTGGGATTATGGAGCTGACGCAGACGGAGCTCATCTTGCACACTCACAAGCGAGATGCTGTCAGGTGGCCCTACCTCTGCTTGCGCCGCTATGGCTATGACTCCAACCTCTTCTCCTTTGAGAGCGGTCGCCGCTGCCAGACAGGGCAGGGTGAGTGTGGAGGTTCCTGGAGGAAGGAACGCTGAGGTTTCTGTTCCCAGGCAGCGGGAGTGAGCTGATGCTTGTGTCTTCCCAAATTCCTGCATGGAATGAATCAACAGGTTCTTTTGCCGCCTCTGTTCCCCCAGAATACCGGAGTGTGCATGCACATACAGTTAATGCTCCTGATTAAACACTAATGAGAACAACATCGTGGCTCAGGACCTGGGCATAAATCTAATGGTCTCATTTTGCTAGTGCATCAGTGCTCATAAGGTAATCGCTGAAGCAGGCTTGAGCCTCGGACAGGGCGTATTTAATGTCAGAGAGAATGTTAGTTACACTGTCAGCTCTGTGCTCGGTACCGAAGGATGCGCAGCTGTGGTAGGAGCGATTGCTGGACTTCTTCCCTTAGGAGCTAGAAACTGCTTTTTGCAAGACTGGAGCTTTGTCAAGCATTTTTTAACTCCAGGGATAAAGCGAGAAAGCGTCGCCTGCACCTTTTTGCAGGCCACTGTTAGGATTTGCTTATTCCACAGAGCTGTCGAATGCATGTCAGTAGCAATAGTTGTTTGAGCACATTTTGTTTTTCTCGGTGCATTCTCTCTGCCGTGGTTAGTGCTAGTTCTACTTAATGCTTTGCATTTTGTGCCTGGCAGCACTTTGTAACGTAGAGGAAAAGGAGTTTTACGTTTTACTGATTTTATGCATGGGGATGCTGTGCATGGAGAAGGGAAGTGAGTCACCCAGGAGTACATGCCAAGTCATCAGTAGTGCTGGGAATAGACTCCAATTTTACAATGGTGCCTGTTAGTTCCTTTACCAGTCTGTCTCTCTTGCTTTTAAAGAGCTGAATGTTTTCTTGGCATCTGCATCCCTGGGGAAAAAAGTTTGTTTCCTCGTTCTGTTAATGTGTTTGCAAACTCCTTCTTATCCAAAAGGACTCCGTATGATCGTTCAGTGTCTGTGTAAAGCACTGTGCAAATCTGTAGTGCTGTATGCTCCTTTTTAATATTTATGTAAGTGGGGTTTCCCTCTCCTGGAGTCATGTGCTTATCAGCTGCCAGCGTTGGGAATTGCTTGTCTTTGGTTTCTGTTTTGCCTTTTGCAGGATGCAGATCAGTGATTCAAATTCTGCCTTGTGTGTTGGTTTTGTTTAGGTCCAGTAAAGCAGAGCCATTTGCTCTTCATATATTACAACATTTTTAGCAGACATATACTTACTCATCGGTCTTAAAGCAGACAGGAATGAGAGGGATGGCGTTGTGTTTTGATGACTTTTCTCCCTTCCTTGTAGGATTTTATTCTGCTTAGTTAATTTTATTTGGAGGACTCCTTCCTGATGCTGCTCCCCACCTTATATCAGGCACATACAGCTGGTTTTTTGGCCAGAATTTTAAAAACCTTATTCTTTGGGGTAGCAGCTGTTGTTGCCATGCCATTCTCGTTGCTATGGCTTTTGTGCGTGTGTGTGCGTGCCAGCTTGGGATTGGTTAGCTCTGTGTACACCGGCTCTGGTTTGGGCTGCTCGTTTGGGGAGACGCTGTTTAATTCCATACATTTTTGAATACGACATTCTTGTCCCTCATGTGTACGCTCCACAGGGCCCAGTTCAGCTTCTGGTAGTCACTGGATAGACTTTCCCCTGGTAATGAGAACCAGACTGGGTGCCAAGTGAGTTAAAATAGAAGATTAGAGATGAAACGAGACTGGTTAGCCTGTCCCTTTCACACCTCTGCTCGTGTGGGATCGATCCTCTTAAGATAACTGGGGTGCTCACTATTTTTCTTGTAATAATGCACCATTTGGTCAGAAGGCGGCCATGGCATTGTATTTCTGTGGATGCAATAATCCACTGAGTGGTTGGTTGTTTTCCTGTGGGTTGCAGGGGCGTGATTGTGTTAAACCCAGCAAAAGAAATCAGAATTGCCTGTTTAGAGCTGGGAATTATATATGCTCTTGTTAAAGCAGCATCGCTTTCTTGCTTTTCTGACCTTCCTCTTCGTTACTGTGCAGGGATTTTTGCCTTCAAGTGTTCCAGGGCAGAGGAGATCTTTAATCTGCTTCAGGACCTGATGCGGTGTAACAGTATCAACGTAGTGGAAGAGCCCGTTGTCATCACCAGGAACAGTCACCCCACGGAGCGGGAGCTCTCCCGGCCCCACCAGACACCCAACAGTAAGGCTCCTTCAGTGTCCAGGGAGAAGAAGGGGAAAACAGAGACCTGGGCGATGTCTGCAGTTGCTTGGGTGAAACTGCCCTCTGCAGCCCATGGATCTCTCCCGTGCTCTGCCTGGCTGCTGACACTAATCTTTATGTCCACGTGTGCCCCATGCAGCGTGTTTATTTTAAGGCCCCACTTGTCTGCGATGTGGTATTTTGTTTCCAAGGAAACAGCAACAAAAAGCCCTTCAAACAGTCAACGGAGTAGTCACCCTTCAGTTGGTTTTCATCTGGACCGCTGCCAAGCGCCCTTTTTTAACTGTCACCTACAAGGATCAGGTGGTTCCTGGAGGAAACCGCATCTGGAAGAATTTGGATTTGCTCAATTCTAGTCTGTATTGGGAGTGACTTAAATAAATTTAAACAAGAAAGCTTAGCCCTTGTATTTATACTGGGTACTTCGCCGTAGGGATCTTCCCCAGAGAGGCTGATTCTGACTTACAGGGTGCATTCAAGAGGCCAGCTCACTGTGAAAAGGCTATCAGCTCTTATTTTATGCCAATGCGCTAATGCTTATCTGTCTTGATTCTCTCCCAGGTCTGGGGTACACCATCCCAGGATTTCCCAATGGATTTCACAGCTTTCCTGGAGAAACCCTATCATACTCTGCAGCCCGCCACCCCTCCGTGAGCAGCCTGAGGCATTCCTCTGTGGGAGAAGACTCTACTCATGCCCTTATTGGGCCTGATGAGCAGGTAAACGTGGGTGTCCTAAATCCTGCTGTTTGCCAGCAGTGAACAAGCAGCTTGTTTTGTTAGCAGTCCTGTGCAGTTCTGGGGTTCTCTTAACTCCAGCAAAGCTCAGAGGAGCCTCATACCTTGTCATCCTTTTTTTCTCTTTTGCTTCATTTTGCTCTTGGAGTCTTCTGCTGTCTGACGCTTCACTAGAACAGGGACTTTATCAAGGCTGACTGAGTTGGCTTCCTTAATCCACTAGTATTTGTGTGGCAGTTCTTTAACAGCAACGCTTAGCTTGTGAGTCCGATCTGTCAGCTATTACTGCAGCCCCTAAACTGATGTGCAGATGCGTACCCAAGGTCAGACTTTTTATTTTTGATGTTCAGCTCTTTGTTCTCAGTTGTAGAATTTAAGATTTTTCCCTGCAAAATCCAGCCTGTCTCAACCATCATCAGAGAAGCCTGGGTAGGTGTGAGTGCTGCAATATTGCCAGTGTAAGCTGGTCAAGGAAATATTTTGCAAGTGGCTTTGCTTTTTGTTCTGTGCCATATGCATCGAGCGTGAAATAGATGATGTGTATCTTCTGCAGTTGGACTCCTTTTTGTTTCTCCTTCAGCCCACAAATCCAGAAATGGCTTTTGTGGTTTGTTTCCCAAAATCTTTTCAACTTCTGAAATTCTTTCATCTCCTCCTGCTTCATCAGCCATGGAAAAATTGTCCATTCCTGTTGGTTTCTCAGCTGCTGACAGCTGCTTTGCTCTTGTCTCTTCCCCTTTCACTGTCCCTCTGCTTCTCTCCTTGCAGTCCCACACCTACGTCAACACGGCCAATGGTGATCAGGAGCTGAGGGGCCGCCACTGTATGCACTCCTTGCCTGAAGTCCACCCTCCTTTCCCCCATAGGAACCACAGCTGCTCCCTCGAAGACCGCAATCCCCAGGTCTTTCTGCAGCCAGGGGAGGTTAAGTTCGTGTTAGGTCCCACGTCCAACTACAGACGCGTCTGTCGGCCCCGGGAGTGCAGGACGCACTTCTGCCCCCCCAGCAACAACAACAACGAGTGTGAGGAGGAGTGTCCTTCGCCCCAGTGTGTCTACGAGAACGTCAACGGCTTGCTGCCCCCCAGCACCTCCTCTCTCTGCCGAGGCGGGCGCTTGAAACTCACCCGGGAGGACGCGGGCTTACCTGGCTGTTCCCATCGCAGATCGGCATTGCTGCACTATGAGAACTTGCCGTCGCTGCCTCCGGTGTGGGAGTGCCAGCCGCTCCGGCAGGGCGAGGAGGTCACCGGCGCCGGGGACGTGCCGACGCCTTCCCCCAGCGGCTACTCCGAGGCTGGTGAAGAAGATCCCCTGCAGAACTACATGAACTCGGAGAACACCGCGCTGCATGGGGGCAGCAGCCAGCGGCGCAGCGGCTTCGTGCCCAAGACTCCG